AGAGAGAGAGAGAGAGAGAGAGAGAGAGAGAGAGAGAGACAGAGAGACAGAGAGAGACAGAGACAGAGAGACAAAGAGACAGGGAGACAGAGACATACACAACTTTCCATGGTATGTATCTCGTTCATTTATTCATTCATCAAAATTTCATAGAAGACATAACTTATTCTGAACCATTGCACAAAAGTTTTAGAATTCGGAAATTTTCGCATGTCCACAATACTTCAAGAGATTCAGCTTTTTGAACAACTAGAATTGTCAATAACAATTGAAGCGACAATTTTTCCAACCAATTCAATCAAGTTGTCACGCGGACCCATTCATATAGACAGGAGTGTCATAGGCGTACGGATTATAAATAGTTTTACATTTATTCATAGCGACCTGGGAGTATTTGGTTCGAAGTCAGAGAAAATTAATTTTCTCAACATTTTTAGGCTCACGTTTTGTTTATATTAATCTTCAGTTGATTATGTCCTTATAATTTGGTCAAGTGATGGCCACATGTCGTATTATTAACGCGTCATAAAAGTTCTTCATAACCCTAGTCAGTACACCAATAAAATATAATTTCCAAATATTCTGAATTTGGAAAATTTCTACCATTTTTTAATGAGAAAATGAAAGAAAATGTTTGTATTCGGGAAATAATGCATTGATCGAGATGAAGCCGCTAATAATTTATGCATTACTTTGCAGCGTAATGATACAGACTTTGGTAAGTCAAGGCAAGCTATGCCGATTTTTCAGAAAATAGTTACAGGGTAAGTAGTCTTTGGGAAAGATATCATAAGAACTTTTTTGCGGTCCATGAAAATGCTTCTCAAGCAGATCATTTTCGATAAACTCATCTAAATCTCTGTCAGTTTATTACCGAATGAATAATAAATTGGTCCAGAAACTGATGAGTAATAGTATTTTATTGAATAAATTGAGAAAGATTAGATCATCCATAACTCGGGACATTCGTTTATCCACTTTGATCCATCCACTGATTCACATTAAAATTTTCAAAACGAAAAAAACTGCAATTCATTGAATTTGTCGGATTTGACCAAGCATTTCAATTGATCGCATTACCCGCTCCAGTTCTAAATCGAAACTTCTCTTCTAAAATCCATTAACATCCATTTTCCCGACATTCTACGTGCATCTCGATGACACGTAAACCGTTAGTCACACCATTTTTTCTCTTCCAGATTATCTGAAAAGTTAATTGTTTTCACTCACCCGGTAATAATATCCATTTGTTCCACTCTGATTGGCCTTTCTAAAGTTGAGAATCTCGTACCTGGCAAGACCATCACCATGCTCGTCAAACTTTACCTCGCTTCCAGCAGAATCTACGAAAATTATTGGAGAATTCCATTAATCATCCCCCGACACTCGGAGGGTTTAATGCAGTACGCCTGGGGGGACTATTCCTCTTTTCTCTTGAGCATAAAGTATACAAATAACACCCACAGCAGGAAGAGATAAAGGTGAGTAAAAAAAAGCGGGGATTTTAATTTGGTTGCAAAATCCAGGGGACCTAGATGTTCTCCACACTGTGTTTATAATGACAAAGTGCAGCCCTTAAGGTAAAATTTGATAATTAATCCATTTCACAAGCATTTTCATATGATACGACTTACTACCGAAACCAACTATGATAATATGTAAATTCATATTTTTGCCCGTCACGGCATTTCATGGTTAAGGTATATGAGTGAGCCGCCAATTTTGTATATGAAAAATTCTCTCAAAACTTTTCAAATTTTTTCCTGCTTTTTATCGAAAAGTATAGTCCAAAAAATGAAAAATGAGGCTAGCGAGAGCTTTCTATCTCAATTTTGTAAAAAAACTGCGCCAAGAAAAAGTTTTGCTGGTTTTGATATGAGCAGATCCACGTCAAAACGCAAGGCCACAAAAGTCGATCTCACGGATTTTCTCGCCAATTTTTTTCCTAAAAGGTGGCCCCAATGCGAATACTTTCAAAAAAAATCACCCACAAATATTGAAAATTAAGGAAGTTATGATTTTTTGAAAATTTTTCATTTTTTTCGATGCATATTTTCAGGTGATTTTTTTTCAAGTTTTCAGCAATATCGAATTCGGGTTTGGAGGTATCAAATCGCGGTTTTGCACATGAAATAAAAATAGAAAAATCTTTAATATGAGCCATCAGTCGATGTATTCCATTGTTATTTAAGGGTTTTATGCAACAAAACGTATTTTTTATTCAATCACAATTATCTCAAAAAGCTCACTTTTTAAAAATCCGAAATTTTCATCAAAAATCATCAGTAAAATGATGAAAATTTTGTCGGCAATTAAAGTTATTCCTTCACAGTGGTTGACTGCATTTTGATGGGTGAAATAAGCATGTCGCTGGAAATCTGAGGAAAATGTTACATAATTTCCCTTAAATCAAGATGTGGGTGCTGAGGATCTCTTTGTCCATTTTTTTCCTCAAAGTAGATCTTCAGACGAACATTTTGAAAAAAAAAACATTGGAAAATATCGATAATTACGGGAGTTATGATTTCGTAAATATTATTTTCTCTCAATTTTGGAATTGTCGTCGGCCTTGCGGTCAAATGAATGAATTTACTCAAATTTTTTGCTGTTAAAAAAGCCTACGTTTCGACCCATTTGCGGGTCCTCTTCAGGGCTGATTTTATTGCTGTAAACATATATATGAATATTTATGAGGTATTTGTTATACAGGTAACTGTTGTACAAATATCAGATTTTGTCACACATACCAAAGGACAAGTCTAATTTGTAATAATGTATAAGACATAGTCGAAGTGATCCGTAAACGTGTATCCAAGCTATAACCAAAAATACAAATTTAAAGTCGATAACTGATAATTGTTGTGAATTTATCGTGTCATTAAATTGATGTGAGAAAGGCCGACGACAATTCCAAAATTATGTCTTCACCACGGTCGACAAAGACCTATCCAAGGATTATTTTCTCTTTTTAAATCAATAAACTTACGTGATTTCCTTCCAAGAGAGAAATAGTCTTCCTTTCGGGTCATTCATATTTTTCGCCACACAAAATCCTCTGATCATGTAGATCCCTATTGTACCCTCTCATTGAACTGAATGTGACTGCACACGGCTCTTCCGAAGCACCTACCTAAACGTTCAGTATTTTTCGCCGAGACTGACAGTTTCAAAATAAATCATCGAATACAAACGTTTTGTGTGAAGTAACTGTGAAGAGATCGAGGTTCAACACATTTACCATTCCTAAACGCGTCGAAAATGCCATCTCTCGTAAATTCCTTAATTTTCAACTCATGAAAAGCACTTGAAATTTATATTTTAATTCTTCATAAGGAGAACAATAAAAGGATTCACTTCAGAGATTTGTCATAATTATTTTCAGCAAGAAACAAACTCTATTTCCTTATCCACTATCTCTCCCATCTTATGACTCTTGGTAAAATCATAAAATCGAATGGTAGTAGATAGAATTATAACGAAAGCTTGTTATTCGGCACTATTTTTCTAAAAATCCACTCATTCCTAAGATAATTCGACGATAATTATAAAATCATCTATAAACTCATTGATTAAAAAAAAGAAAATAATTTTTAAAAAATCATAACTCCCTTAATTCTTGATATTTTCCAATTATTCGTATTTCAAAATGTCCATCTGAAGATCTACTTTGAGGAAAAAAATCGACAAAGAGATCATCAGCACCCATATCTTGATTTAAGGAAAATTAGGTCACATTTTCCTCAGATTTCCAGCAACACGCTTATTTCACCCATCAAAATGCAGTCAGCCACTGCGAAGTAATAACTTTAATTGCCGCTACAATTTTCATCATCTTACTAATGATTTCTGGTGAAAATTTCAGATTTTTAAAAAATGAGGTTTTTGAGATAATTGTGATTGAATAAAAAACACGTTTTGTTGCATAAAACCCTTAAGTAACAGTGGGATACATCGAATGACGGCTCATTTTCAAGATTTTTCTATTTATATTTCACGTGCAAAATCGCGATTTGATACCTCCAAACCCGAATTAGATATTGCTGAAAACTTGAAAAGAAAAACCTCGTAAAAATATGCATCGAAAAAAAAGAAAAATTTTCAAAAAATCATAACTTCCTTAATTTTCAATATTTTTGGACGATTTTTTTTTTCATGTTCACATTGAGACCAACTTTAAGGAAAAAAATCGGCGAGAAAATCCGTGAGATCGACTTTTTTGGCCTTGCGTTTTAACGTGGATCTGCTCATATTGAAAATTTTTTTTTTTCTTGTATAAATTGTTTTTTTGAATTTTAATTACTAGCTATTAAGAACAATACAAAAAAGTTTGAACCCATTGATTTTGTTGAAAACTTTTCGAAAAAAAACCATTTTTGCTTCCGAATGAAAGCTTTGTTTTTGATCGACTTTTCGATTTTCTAATTTCGATTGCAAATGGTCTAAAATGTTATGAAGCGTGTAGAAATGATGTTTTTAGGGTCATGTCTGCATGTTATGTATCAGAAAATTTGGGTTTTTGATAATCAATTTTTAGAAAATTCAACATAATTGCGGTAAAATTTGTAGATGGAAATCTGAAATTTTAGATCGTTCTAGTTATTATTGACCTCAAATTTGGCACGCTGTTTCAGCTCGATTGATGCATGCATTTTCGTGATATAACGAGTTGTTTAAATTTTGTTATTCCTTCATATTTCAGAAACTACTGCATTTATTTCAATATTTTGCTTCAAAATACTCGTCTCGATGGCCTCTATATACGTCAATCAGAATATATAGACTCGCTAATAGACAGTATGGCGATATTGTGATTTTTCTTTTTTTCATAAGAAAATCTTGTACGCACGATAATTTGAGAAAAGAAGGAGATAGCAAGTTGGAAATTGGTATGGTTCTAGCTCTTATACTAGTAAAGGTTGGTAGTCTGAGTGGGCGCAATCGGCGTAGCGGTTCTTGAGATATGCAACCTTTTGTGTAAACATATTTCTTTGAATATCTCATGAACTACTTGACGGATTTCATTTTTTTTCTTTGAAAATACTTATTTTGATGACTTCTGTATAGATCAACCGAAATATATATCTCGATACATTTGTACATATCCTTTGATATTCCTGTTTCATATAATTATACCAAATTTCAGCTTTGACATCCTTTGAAGTTCACGTGGTATTATTAAATGTATGACTTAATTTTTGTAAAAAAAACTGCGCCAAGAAAAAGTTTTGTTTGGTTCTTACAGGGAAATAGAAATTTTTGTAAAATACAAAGAAATGAAAAAGAAAGCCAAGTCAGCAATGTCGAATAAACGAAAATAGTGCACCATCAGATTTCTATAAGAGAAATTGTTTCAAATCGAATGAGGATTTTAAAAAAATTCTTGATGAAATAAAAAATTAGTAGAAGGAGGACCAACGTCCGTGGCGCGGATCAGAAGATGGAGAATTAGATTGATACTAGACAATGAGTTGAAAAACGTTAGTCCTCCTTCTACTAATTTTTTATTTCATCAAGAATTTTTTTTAAATCCTCATTCGATTTGAAACGATTTCTCTTATAGAAATCTGATTGTGCACTATTTTCATTTATTCGACATTGCTGACTTGGCTTTCTTTTTCATTTCTTTGTATTTTTCAAAAATTTCTACTTCCCAGTAAGAACCAAACAAAACTTTTTCTTGGCGCAGTTTTTTTTACAAAAACATTTGTTTTTGTTTTTTTAGGGAGATTTCTTTATTTTTTTCAAAATAAACAAGGAATCGTTTTTATATCCTGTAAATTTTTTCAGTTTCAATTCAATTCAGCTCATTTATTTTTCACACGATAAATCATATTTCCAATTAACAATCGAAGTAAAACAAATAGTTCTATTCCACAGTCGTTATTTGCACCGACTTTTAATTATTTATTCAAGATTTTCCGACTGAATTTGCTTCTTCGAGAATTCATTTGTGCACGAAACTCGATTGAAAAATATCTCTGGAATTCATCATTCGTGCACCATATTCAATTGGTAAATTCCCGGGTTTCCGTCCTTGGTGCGTGTGGTTGTATTGCACTGCTACCAACTACGTAACAAAAAAATGACAGGAGTTGATGTGAAATGCGAGAATGTGCATATGAACCCGGTGCTATGCGCGTATTTTTTTCAATATTGCTTCGAACAAAAAAATAGTTATATCAATGAGAAGCTTGTGGCCAATTTATATAACGTAACTAAGAGTATTTTTCATGTAGCTCATCACGTTTGTATTTTATTTGATGGATATGATTCGGAGGTAGTGGAGGGGTAGTTGCTTCGTGTATAGATACATGGCAGCGATCGGCCTGATGTTTTGTACACT